CCTGGTCTATGTACAGGTTCCTCATGAGTACAATTAGGTGTTCTGGAATTCCCATTCTTCTCAATGTTACCCATAATTTGTTATGAGCCACACAATCGAATGCTTTTGCATAGTCAATAAAACACAAATAAACATCTTTCTGGTATTCTTTGCTTTGACTCAAGATCCATCTGACATCAGCAATGATATCCCTCATTCCACATCCTCTTCTGAATCCAGCTTGTATTTCTGGAACTCCTCTGTCAATACACTACTGCAACAATTTTTGAATTATCTTCAACAAGATTTTATTTGCATATGATATGATATTGTTCAATAATTTCCACATTCTGTGGGATCACCTTTCTTTGGAATGGGTACAAATATGGATTTCTTCCAGTCAGTTGGTTTTCTTTCAAATTACTTGGTATAGACAAGTAAGTGCCTCCAGCGTGACATCCGTTTGTTGAAACATCTCAGTGAGTATTCTGTCAATTCCTGGAGTCTTGTTTTTCCCCAATTCCTTCAGTGCAGCTTTGACTTCTTCCTTCAGAACCATTGGTTCTTGATCATATGCAACCTCCTGAATTGGATGAACATTGACCAATTCTTTTTTGGTACAGTGACTCTGTGTATTCCTTCCATCCTTTTTTGATGTTTCCTGCATCAGTCATTATTTTGCCCATAAATCTTTCAATATTTCAACTCAAGAAATGCTGTGCATGTTCTTCCCTTTTGGTTGCCTAACTCATCTTTGCACATTTCACTATAATAATTGACTTTGTGTTCTCAAGCTGCTGTTTGAAATTTTCTGTTCAGCTCTTTTATCTTATCATTTCTTCTATTTGCTTTAGCTACTTTCCATTCAAGAGCAAGTTTCAGAGTGTCTTCTGACATTTATTTTGGTCTTTTCTTCCTTTTCTGTCTTTTTAATGACCTTTTGCTTTCTTCATGTGTGATGTTCTTGATGTCATCCCACAATTCATCTAGTTTTCAGTTACTGGTGTTTAATGAGTCAAATCTATACTTGATGGTCTCTAAACTCAGGTGGAATATAATCCAGGTCATATTTTGGGTCTTGTGGAGTTGTTTTAATTTTCTTCAGCATAAGCTTGAACTTGCATATGAGTGATTGATTGATGGTCTCTTCCACACTCAGCTCCTGGCCGTGTTTTGGCTGAAGGTATTGAGCTTCTCCATTGCCTCTTTTCACAGATGTAGTCGATCTGATTCCCATGTGTCTCATCTGGTGAAGTTCACATGTATAGCTGCCATTCATGTTCTTGAAAAATGAATTTGCAATGAGTAAGTCATTGCCCTTGCAAAATTCTCTCATGTGATTTCCAGCATCATTTCTGTCACCAAGGCCATATTTTCCAACTACTGGTGATTCTTCTTTGCTTCCAACTTTTGCATTCCAATCACCAGTAATAACACATCTTGATTGAATGTTTAGTCAATTTCAGACTGCAGAAGTTGGTAAAAATCTTCAATTTCCTCATCTTTGGTTTTGATGGTTGGTGCATAAATTTGAATAATCATAGTATTAACTTGTCTCCTTGTAGGCATATGGATATTATCCTATCACTGATAGCATTGTACTTCAGAATATATCTTGAAACATTCTTTGTGATGACGAATGCCATGCTGTTCTTCTTCAATTTGTCATTCCTGGCATAGTAGATCTTATGTTTGTCTGATTCAAAATGGCCCAAACCAGTCCATTTCAGCTCATCAGTGTCTAGGACATTGATCTTTATGCATTCCATTTAATTTTTGACAACTTTTAATTTTCCTATTTCATACTTCTTACATTCTGCATTCCAATTATTAATGGATGTTTGCAGCTGTTTCTTCCCATACTGAGTTATGCCACATCAGCAAATGGAGGTCCCAAAAGCTTTACTCCATCCACATCATTAAGGTTGACTCCACCTTGAGTCATATTTTGCATGCCTTCTGGCCTAAAGGGCTCATCTTCTGGCACTATATCAGACAATTTTTCAGGGCTATTCATAAACTTTTCCAGTAATATATCAGACAGTGTAAGGTTTTCACTGGCCAATTCTTTGAAAAGTGGATGACCCCTTCCTTCTTCCAACTCTGTCTCAGTCTGGAAGCTCCACTGAGACCTGTCCACCATGGATGACCCTGCAAGTATTTGTAATACTGGTGGCATAGCATCCTCACGGCAACATGCAAGCCACCACAGTGCAACAAACTGACAAGACAAATGGCGGTCAGCAACTCTATAGGACAGTAAAATTTTCCCATAGGATTTCCAAGGTTGTAACTCTTTACTGAAACAGACTGCCACATCTTTCTCCTGTGGAGTGGCTGCTGGTTTTGAACCACCAACCTTTCCACTGGCAGCCCAGAACTTAACCACTGCACGACCCAGCCTCCTTTGTATCCCAGCATATATTTAAAAACAAAAACAAACTCTTACAACTCTATAACATACCTACCACCCAATCAAAAAACAGGAAAAAGGTTTGAACAGCTACTTCAACAACAACAAAATACAAATGATAAATATGCTCATGAAAAGCTGCTCAACATATTAGTCTTTTGGAAAATGAAAAACCCACTACAGCGGCTGTAATATAAAAAACTGACAATACCACATGTTAACAAAAACTTGGTATTTTCATACATTGTTGGTGGGAACATAAATGGTGACATTTTGGAAAATAGTTTGGCAGTTTCTTACATATCGAAATATATGTTTACTAGGTGACTCAGCAATTCCACTCCCGAAGAAATTAAGCCACATCCATAAAAATGGAGTTCTGGCAGCACAGTAGTTCAAGTACTTGCCTGCTAACCAAAAGGTCAGGGGTTTGAGTCCATCAGCTACTCCATGGGAAAGATGTGGCAGTCTGCTTCCATAAAGATTACAACGTGGGAACCCTAAGGGGCAGTTCTGTTCTGTCTTACAGGGTCACTATAAGTTGGAATAGACCAGACTATAATGAGTTTGATTTGACCCACACAGAAGTCTGTACCCAAATGTTCTTAACAGCTTTATTCATAGTAGCCTCAAACTAGAAACAAGGTAGCATATGATCAAGAGTCAATCATATTGAAGGATGAAATCTAAGCTTCACTGAAGGAATTGCCCCTGCCCCTCAAAAGGCTCCAGGTATTGACAGAAAACACACTGAGATTCACAAATGGGTGCAGTGCTGGAGGCACTCACTCAGTTAGGCCAAGAAATATGGAAGCCAGCTTCCTGGCCAACAGACTGGAAGAGAACCATATTTGTGCCCATTCCAAAGAAAGGTGATCCAACAGGGTGCTGAAAGTATTGAATAGCAGTATGACAGGCAAGTAAAATTTTGCTGAAGATAATTTAAAAAATGGTTGCAGCAGTGTATTGACAGGGTACTGCGAGAAATTCAAGCTGGATTCAGAAAATGATGTGGAATTGGGAATATCACTGCTGATGTCAGATGGATCTTGACTCAAAGTATATACCAGAAAGATGTTTACTCATGGTTTTTTGATCATGCAAAGCCATTTGAGTGTGTGGATCATAGTAAATTATGGAAAACATTACAAAGAATGGGAAATCCAGAACACTTAATTGTGCTCATGAGGAACTTGTACATAGACTAACAGGCAGTCTTTCAAATACAAGGGGATACTGCATGGTTTAAAATCAAGAAAGGTGTACATCAGGGTTGTATTCTTCCACCATGCTTATTCAATCTGTATGCTGAGCAAATAATCTGAGAAGGTGGACTATATGGCACCAGGATTGGAAGAAGACTCATTAATAACCTGCAATATGCAAGTTACATAACCTTGCTTGCTGAAAGTGAAGATAACTTGAAGCACCTACTGATGAAGATCAAAGACTACAGTCTGCAGTATGGATTATACCTTAACATAAAATAAAAATCCTCACAACTGGACCAATAAGCAGCATCATGCAAAATGGCCAAAATATTGAATCTGTTGGGGATTTCATTTTACTTGGATCCACAGTCAATGTCCACGGAAGCAGCAGTAAGAAATCAGAGAACATATGGTACAGGGCAAATCTTCTGCAAGACCTTTTCAAAGTGTTAAAAAGCAGACTAAGGTGTGCCTGACCCAAACCCTGGTATATTTAATAGCCTCATATGCATGTAAAAGCTGGGCAGTGAATAAGGAAGACTGCAAAGAATTAATGCATTTGAATTACCGCATTGGCAAAGAATATTGAATATACCATGCACTGTCAGAAGAATGAACATTGTATTACAAATTGCCTATTAATATGCGTATTATTTGTCTCATTGGTTTTGTACTTTAGTTTTAAGACAATCATTTTTAAATAACTTTGAATGTCATATTAAATAAGATTGTACAGAGAAAGTAAATCCACTAACTGAAGTAGGTCCAAATTTACTACAGCTGGAACTATATACTTTTTTGACATATAACATCTCTTTTGCTAATAAAATAATAACATTAATTAGGATCTCTGTTGTTGTTATGTGCTGTCCAGTCAGACCCGACTCATAGTGACCCCTCCCTGGGTTTCCAAGGCGGTATCACTATGGAAGTAGATTGCCCCATCTTCCTTCCAAGGAGTGGCTGGTGGGTTTGAACCGCCAGCCTTCTGGTTACTTCTGGTTAGCAGTCAAGTGCCTTAGGCACTACGCTACCAGAGCTCCCTTAGGATCTCTAAGTTCTTATGTTTTATACCTCTCACAGTAGCAAGAACAATAATATAAAAAGGGAGAACACCTTCTGCCTCCTTAACCAGATACATAGTTGTCTCCAATTCACTAGTTTATTCATTAGCTCATTCATAAAACCCTGTTTGAGAAAGGGCTTTTCTTGGCAAAACAAAATACAATCTTGTTCTTTAGTCTGTCAAATCACACAGGGAGATAAATAAAAGCATAAAGTCATTCCATAAATCTTTATTGCATTCCCACAGAGTGCATGAATTTAGGATCTATAGTGTACATAGAAAAGTGTTATTTTAGCCCCTTTTTAAAAAAACAAATTCTAACTTCTCTATGTATTTCAAGTGAATCATTTAATATGAGTGCGGCTCAGTTTGATGTTACCATAGTATTAATAGCAGAAATGGAAAAGTACAAACATTTTCTCTTCTACCAAACGGGAACAGGATTTGGTGGGAAGATAGTCTAGCCTATTGGTCTAACAATAGCCAATCAAAAAGGCTAGAGAATCTAGAAGAAAAAGATGTACTTGGAAGCACTGTCCTCTGAGGGCTCATTCCCCTGAAGGCAGAAAAATGTAACTGGCTCAAAAGTTACATTGAAAAATCAAGAGAGGAGTTAATCACAGCTTGGGAAAAAATAATTCAAAAACAGAAGAAATTAGATTAATAATTCTGAAATTTCCCTGGAGTTTTGCTAGCACTCTGAGATAACCAAAGAGGCTATAAGGTCGTGCTCCTTTGGACAGAAGTGCTTTAAAATGTTATATTCTCCAGTGCGCCAACTGTATTTTCAAGTATAATTCTGGTATTTGTACCTAGCAATACAGAAGAAAAAGCAGCAAGGAGAAAGTGTCAAGTATATAGGACATAAAATGATTTGGCAGTCCTAGAATTCCCAGTTTGAGTCGTCTTCTTCAGGAAAAGTACATTCTGGTTCAGTCCCAGGTAACACTGGAGGCACTGTTATTGATGGCTTGTTATAAGCAGGAGGCAACAGTGAAAGTATTGAACCCTGGCTTTGTTCTTTCATCTGTTAAAGAAACTCAGAATAAGGTTATCAGTATATAAATTCAGTACATTGTTCTTCATTTTTAATAATAAACAATGTTTAAAGGAAATAATGTTAAAATTATTTACAATTATTTTTGGGTAGTTTTCCTAAAATGCCTTTGATTCTGGTCATTTGAAAACTGGAAGAGGTAAGAGTCAAAGCAAGTTTTGTCAGAATTATTTAGTCCTTTCATCAAATGTCTCTAAAATTAATCAAAATATAGTGAGGCCATAGTAACATATGATGATACTCCAGTTTGATTTTACTCATTTTGTTTTGCAGAATGGAAATATTTTAGAAAGCCTATAATTAACCTGGCAGCATAGTGCCTAAGGCACTTGACTTCTAACCAGAAGGCTGGCAGTTCAAACCCACCAGCCACTCCTTGGAAGGAAGGTTGGGCAATCTACTTCTGTAGTGATACTGCCTCAGAAACCCAGGGAGGGGTCGCTATGTGTTGGATCCGACTTGATGGCAAATAACAACATAATTAACCTATCAAAAAGATTTTTATTTTTTAAGAAAGTTACTACACCCATTCCTCACTTATCGACACAGTTAGTCTCCAAAGTTATTACGCAAAAATTGGTGTTATATAAAAATGAAGGATGATCATATGAGATCACGAAATGAAGGATGACTACATCATTACCCACTGCCATTGAGTCAATTCTGACTCTTAGTGACCCTCATTGGGTTTCCGAGGCTGTAAATCTTTATAGAAAGAAGTAGATTGCCTCATCTTCCTCCTGTGGAGCAGCTGGTGGGTTTTAACAGTCTGGTTAGCAGCCAAATACCTTACCCACTATCCCACCAGAGCTCCTTCTACATCATTACGTAATTACCCGATTTCATCTCCCAAACCACTGAGAATCATGGCGCAGCCAAGTTGTTACATAACCTTTAACCATCACAGTCAGGGTTATTCTTGCCTCACACCTCAGTGGTTGTTACTGCCAGATATACATTGTTAATGTGCAAAATAGTTCAGATAGAGTTTTTACTTTTGTTGTAAATGCAAAATGTTGGATAACAGGATAGTTGATAATTGAGGAGCAGATTTATCAAGAATCTTGGTAATCAGAGGGTCTCATTAAGCCAATACAACTAAGTGATTTATTTATAGTATTTAAAACCAAGTAATTAACAGAAGACAGATTAGCTCACCTGTTTAAAGAATACATGGGACAATAAACTGCTTGCTGATGGCCTGAAAATTAAAAAAATAAATTTTATATATATATATATATATACACACACACACACACACACACACATACACACACACACACACATATATGGGGGGGTGGAGAGAGAGATTAGAACTACATATTAGAATGTAGATTTTAAGTGTAAAACTATACTGGAACATAAAATTTAGAGTTAAAAGCCCAATACTAAAACATTATATGTTAGGAAGCCTAATTTGCAGCTTCAACTTTGACTAATGGGAAGAATTAATTGTGAAGGTATCCTTCAATTATTAATCCATACTCAAACATTTATTGGGCTGTTACTATTTATAAGGAACTATGTTAGACCCTAATAGGTTAAAAGAAGATAAATGAGACACACTTTGTTTTCAGTAATGTTGTTGTTGTTGTTGTTTGCCGTCGAGTCGGCCCCGACTCATAGCGACCCCTCCTTGGGTTTCCGAGGCAGTATCACTACGGAAGTAGGATTGCCCAACCTTCCTTCCGAGGAGTGCTGGTGGGTTTGAACCGCCAGCCTTCTGGTGAGCAGTCAAGTGCCTTAGGCACTATGCTACCAGAGCTCCTGTTTTCAGTAATACTAACACTTATATACAGTTACCTATAGTTACCTATATTAATAATTTATATTACTAGAGTAGAAGCCATTTACATTTTTATACTACTTGGAAGTTTCCAAGATGTTTTAGTATAATGCAGTAAATGATGTCTAGAAAGATGAGTGAGTTTACAAAATGACTTGGCTAGCAAATGGGACAACTGTGCCTGTGTCCAAGTATTCTTCCTATCTCTTCATTATTTCTACTTGTTTTTAGCTTTTATATTTTCTAGATTAGACTACCATTTTTGATCAAAGATTGACAAAAGGCTTGAATTAGTCTGGAAGGGCAATATCACAGAGTTTCAAACAATATAAAACACATGCTCTGTGTAACTTAAAGGTGAAATTACCTTTTCTCAGGATCTTGTTGCAAACAGAGTTGTACCAAGTTCAGGAAGGCAGGAGAGAAAGTTTTGGAGGATGGCGTCTGCAGTCTGTCACTGTTGACTGTGCGAGTGCCACTGGACACAAGTACACTTTCTCCAATCCCAGAGTCTATACCTGATCGGGAATTTTTCATTCTGGACTCTGATTGAGGGAAAATACTGATATCCAATGGACTAAAAGGAGGACCTTTCAGTTTCTGTAACAGCATCTAAAAGAGAGAAAAATTCCCTTTTATGCTTTTTACACAAAATATTAAAATTAACAGCAAATATCCTAAGAATCTACAACACAAATTATCTGGAGTAGAAGGGAAGTAATGAAAGAGAAAGTAGTGGAGGGATTTTAGTAGCCATTAGGGATAGACTTGTGCCCTCCAACAAGATATGCTGAAGTGGTAAACCACAGCACCTGTGAATGTGACCTTGTTTGGACACAGGGTCTCTGATGATGCTATTGGTTAACATGATGCCATACTGGAGTAGAGTGGCTCCTAGTCCAATCTCAGGGCTGCTCTTCTAGAAGAGGAGAATGGACACAGAAAGACAGGCACACTGGAGGGAAAAATGCCATATGATCTGGAGCTATAAGCCAAGGAATGGTTGGAGCTACCAGAAGCTAGAGGAGAGGCATGTAAGATTCTCCCCTCAAAGCCTCAGAAGGAATCAACATGGCCAACACCATGATCTCAGGCTCCCAAGCTACAGAACTGTGAGATAATCAATTTCTATTTTGAGAAGCCATCCAGCTTGTAGTATTTTGTTACAGCAACCCTAGGAAACAAACACAGTAGCATTTACCTGAGTCCTGTGCATGTCCTGGAAAGGTACCTGCCCACTGGCTAATTCACATGCTGTAATCCCAACACTGTAAATATCTGACTTCACATTATATCCATGTAAATCCTGTAGAGAAACACAATTAATTTGAACTCCTTTAGTGTAAATAACTAAATACAAACTTTTAAACACATTACTTTTTGATAAATGAGGGTGAACAACAATGGAAAAAAGAAACCCATAAGAAACAAATCAAGATATACCTAATATATGCTGTATATTTCAAAAGTCCTATCATGATACTTTTGACAAGTCAGAGAAAAATGTCTCACAGTAGGTCATTCACCAATCTAAATATAAGGGCACAATTGTCCTTTAGTCAAACTGAGAAGACACTTGAGACGCACAGACAACCCAATGTAACGGCCACATCTGACCTGTCTCAGTAGTTCTGGACTCAGCCACGGCTGCACTGATGTGCTGAACTGTGGGAAATCATACACAGCCCTATGCCTCTGTCCGTGCTTAACCAAACTATGTAGATGGGACAGGCCAGAGAGGGTCACTAGGCCATCACCAGAAATGAGGATATGGCTGGCTTTAAAACTCCTAGAACAAAAAGAAACAATCCTAAATACTAGGAAATCGGCCAACGGCGAAAGAATAAAAATCTAGTCAGAACAAATCCATGTACTCTCTTGGAAATTAAATGTTCTCTATAAAATAGAACTGCTATGTATGGGAAATACCCAGGGAATTAAGAAATTCTTTTAGCTATTTAATACAGCATTAGAATGAGGGAAAATATAGTTGAATGCTTTATGTTTAGAATTGATCATATTTTTTTCAAACAAGGATCAGAATAAATGATTAACTATACTAATTTAGGATGTTGTTACAAAATATCTAAGGAGAAGTCTAAAAAAATTACTTAACTAATATTTGAAGCAAAAGGTCATAAATTAAAGTCAAATGCAATACTGTCCAATAAAAGACAGACTCTCTGTATAACATCATTTGTAAAGATGTCTTATATAAAAATTTCCTTTGTCAAATAAATTATAAAAGAGCTTCGTTTATTTCATCTAAAACACTGAATTTGGAATTTAGGATCTAACAGTGCAGTGGCCAATAGTCTGGGAAAGTATAATAGAACCTCAATTAAAGAAAACACAGTCTGTTAGAAATTCTCAGTTAACCAGAATGCTATTAAAAAACAACAAATAGTAAGACAAAATGCTTTAAGGAGGCAAGCTGAAACAAACAATAAGAAAAGAAGCTTATATGAAAGTAACTTAAGCAAAACAAAGTTTCAGTATATCTTAGAACAGTACTGTTTTTAACATTCAGCCAATTTATTTCTGCATTTACAATTTGGTAATAAGAGAACTGATATTTAGTATAACAATTCTGAAGTGCTACAAAATATTTAAGAAATCAAAGAAAGGCTTAATTACAATTTGTACATACAAATATGATATAAACCTAAAGAGCAGACAAAGAAGCTCTTTATTTGCTTTAAAAAAAAAAATAGCTAAGTAGGATCCCATTCCCTACAGTTTACATGAGCCCAACAGGTCATTACTTCCCTCACCAGATTGAGGGTTGTTCCATGAGGGCAGGCAATCCACCCCAGCACCTAGCACAGACCTTGGCACAGAGGACGGCAAATGAACATAAATGTGAGCAACCCGCATCTACTGACCTCTTCCTCCCTCAATCTTCATTTCTGAGTCTGCTATCCTTCTTATCAATTGTGCCTTCCTAAAAATTCCCTAAAAGATTTCTTCTATTAAAATCCTTTCATTTTGTAAAATACAAATAAATAAATACCTGTGAATATAGCCATTTTGGTGGAGATAGTTCAACCCCCTCATTGCTCCAAAGAGAATGTTTCTTATTAAAGTTTCACTCATTCCGTCAGGAAAGTAAGTTCTCAAGAGGTGACTTGCTGAACCTGAAAGAAAGTCCTCAAATCTTTAGGTGAACAATGAAAGTAATTCTGCTTCCAGCTATTTTTTTAAAAAAACTTTTTATTGTGATTTGCGTGAAATGTGACAGAGCAGATTAGTTTTCCATTGAACCATTCATGCACAATTTGTTTCGTGACACTGATTGCAATACTCACAATGTAACAGCACTCTTGTGACTTCCTCTATTTCCCATTTCCATTTGTCCTTCTTTCCTACTTCTTCCTGCCTACTAAGCTTTCTCCCTAGGCAAATCCTGCCCTACAGATCTTGGTAGTGGATTTTCCTAAGGAATGTGTACCTTCCTGGTATTATTGTCCACGTTATAGGCCAATCTATTGTTTGGCTTAAAGACAAGCCACAGAGGTGAGTTCAGTTCCAGCACTTAAGGGTGTCTAAGGCCCATAGTTTTGGGGGCTCCACCACTTTTTATCAGACTAATTTTGGTCTTTTTTATGATTCTGAATTTTGTTCCTCATTTCTCTCCCACTCTATCTGGGACCTTCTATTGTGATCCCTTTCAGAGCAGTTGGTTGTGGCAGCTGGGCATCATCTAGTTCTGTTCTCAGGCACGTGGAGGCTGACATTCCATTAGTCCTTTGGACAAACTGTTTCCTTGCGTTTTTTATTTTCTTCACTCTTCTTTGCTTCAGATGGGAAGAGACCACAAGTTGTACCTTAGATGCCCACTCACAATCTTTTAAGACCCCCGTCAGTACTCACCAAAGGAAGATATAGAACATTGTCTTTGTGGACTATGTTATGCCAATTGAGCTTGATGTCCTCTGAGACTATGGTCCTGAGCTCTTATGCCCAGGAACTCATTCTCTTCAAGGTGTTTGGTTATGGCTAAGGTTAAGTCTAATTACTTTCCTATGCAAAGGTAATTTTCCTTCAAGAATATTTAAAAAGACTTTTTTTCATAACTTTGCCCCCTTGTATGCTCTATTATATTCAACGATATATTTGCAGCACATATAAAAACATGTAGAAATATCCTGTCAAATCTGTATGTATTTGTAAATGTAATCCTATTTACTTCCCCACAACTGGTTCATCTTGCATTTCTAAGTGTCCACTTGTAGATTATTGTTATTGCTATTATTGCAGATTTGTGTATGTCACAGTATTTTTGCTGCCTTTTAACTCTTGTACTCCTTCCAGTGTCTTCCTTTGCCTTGATCATTTTGTGCCGACTTCTCCCTTATTGTAAATTGTCTTTCCCTTCACCCAAGTTAGTACCATAGGCACATGGATCCATCTGACCTTTTGAAGTCTAATTACTTTCCTATGCAAAGGTAATTTTCCTTCAAGAATATTTAAAATGACTTTTTCTATTGATGCTCTAGAGATTAGTAAAGAGACTTACAAATTTTTCAATATGACTTTAAAAAGTACATAGTTTATATGTATGTGTATGTGTGTGTGTTTAATTCAGAGTCAATTTACAAAATTTGTTTTAAAAATCAAAGCTCTACAATCCACTTATTTATTCATCCAACACATTTACTGAACACTGCTTTGTGCTAGGTATTATGTGAGCCCCTGAAGACACCAAAGTGAAAACCACATACATCATCTCTGCCCTAAAGAAGCTCAAGTCCAAGAGGGAGACAGGCACAGATGTTTATGATGCAGTGAAATGAGTTTACACTTAGGGAAACAGAGACAGGAATGGTGTACATAGGAGGAAAAAACTACTACTGCCCGAAAAATAACTGTAGCTCTCCACTGAGAGAGGAAGGAAACCAAAGGGAGTAAAGATAGCTTGTGCAAAGGCACAGAATGCTTAGAGGAGGAGCGGTGGTTTCACAGATTGTCATACACATTCTACTTTTTTGTGATGCTAAAATTCAACATGATTCAGAAACAGAAATATGCCATGAAATCGGTAATTGGCCATTATATGTATAAATCAAGAGTAATAAATCATAAATTTAAGATCTCGCCCATCCTTATAATTATAGCATCCAGGCTAAAACAATGAGCTATTTTATCGAAAACCAGTTTTCTTACCATAGGCCATAAATGGAGAAATAACCCAAAGCCAGCTGCCAACGGTGAAAACTGTCCAATAAGTTGTAATATTGGGGTGCCGGAGGAAGTGGGATAGAATCACTGATTTCTAGGATAGACAAAGAACAGATGAGGCATTTAAAAACAACTCCTTTTCTCCTTTAGGATGAAAATAAATTGAAGCCAAATAGAATCAAAGCTCAGTCCCCCATCCTGTCTGTCACCTTGGTTGGAGGCAGATGGGCTGACATGATAACTCGTTCCTTGGGAGCTGAGTTGAATTGAAGCCCAGTCCTCCATCCTGTCCATTATTATTCCCACCTTGGTTAAGACAGAGGGGCAGGTATGATAACTCATGAATCAGGGCTTGGTCCCCCATTCTGTCTATTGCCTTGGTTGGGGGCAGATGGGCGGGCATGATAGCTCGGTTCCTTGGGAGCTAAGCTGAATAGTGGCAGCTAATACTCAATCGGAGCTAATTAGTACTAAGCATTGTTCTTAGTGCTTTCATTTCTTTAAACCTCACAACCACTACATGAAGTGTGTTTATTTCCATGTTACAGAGGTGAAAAATTAGAAATAAAATTGTCTGAGGGCATAGAGTTAATAAGTGGAAGAGAGCTGTGAAGTTAGTTTGATTCTAAAGGCCATATTCTTAAATAACTATACTATGTTCTTATTATAGACAAATCTAAAAATACATAAAAACGTAAAGATAAAAGTCATCTGTAACAGAGATGGATGCTGTTTTACAGAGAATCACTATTAACATTTTTATATAGTTTCTTCTGATCTTTCTTTTTCTATGCATATATCTACTTACGCACATGTAAGTTATTTACAAAGTTGGACAGTGTTGAAATGATATCCTTTTCCCTTTCTGTATTAAAAAAGATGAGTGACACTGAAAATTGCATAATATTCTTGAAATGCAATTATGGTAAAATTTATCAACTCAGTAGTTAATTTTGCTTAATGGAACAAAAAAGAAAACATTTGCTTTTATTTTTCTATTTTCCCTAAATGACCATATGTGATGGGACTGACCAGGGATGTTGTGAATATCCAAGGTGGCATTCTGAATATGCTATTCATTTGAAGGAATTAATAAAACCAAATTCACTGCCGTAGAGTCAATTCTGACTCATAGAGACCCCCACTGGGTTTCCAAGGCCATAAATCTTTCCAGAAGCAGATTGCCCCACCTTCCTTCTGCAGAGAGGCTATTAAGTTTGAACTGTTGACCTTCTAGTTAGCAGCCAAATGCCTTATCCACTACACTATCTGAGCACCTTCTCCTTATTAATAGTAGTTATTAACAGGCACTTAAATTTGAATATATTTGTCCTTTCATGTAATAGATTTGGCTTCCAAGTATTTCTTCCAATTCTGTAAATGCATGTTAATTAGGAAGACAAAATGACCTTTTGCTAATGGAAAGAACTATTATGAATTTTGGGAAAAAAATTTTAAAGATGTAGTCTCGTCAAATAATATTACATTAAATTTTTATTTGGTATCGTTACCTGTAAAGCTTTCAGGCGTTCTTCAGTGCAGTTTTCCAGATTTGTAATTTTTATAGTCACCAGTGTTCCTGTAGGAGTATGTCTTGCAAGGTGGACAGAAGTCAAATTGTCAAATCCTCTTCCTGTAATCAGACATAAAACTTATGCTAGCAAGCATGAAAGAAAATATTGATAATTTAGATTTGATCAAAATTTAAAACTTCTGCTCTTTAAAAGATACTATTAAAAAAATGAAAATGCAAACTATTGATTGAGATAAAGCATTCATAATACTTCTACCTAACAAAAAATTTCTACATAATATAAAGAACTTCTAACTCTATAATAAGATGACACATAATCCAGTTTAAAAATAGAAGACTGAATCTACAATCTACAAAAGAAGATAAATAGCCACTTAGGACATGAAAAGATGCTCAACACAGAAAAATACAACTGAAAACAATGAGATACCACTACATCCCTGTTTTAATGACTAAAACTGGGATTTGATACACAAAGTATGACATATTCAAACAATGGAATACTATTCAGCAATCTCCTACCTCATGCCCAGTTCCTGGCAACCACTGATCTGATTTTTGTCCCTTGAGCTTTGCCTGTTTCATACAATCATAAAGAACACAGCCTTTTGTGTCTGGCCTCTTTCACTGAGCTTAATGCTTCTGAGACTTATTCAAGTTGCTGTAGTATCAGTAGTTCCTTCTTATTGCTGAGTAGTGCTTCATTGCATGGATATAAAAACCGAAAAACCAAACTCACTGCTGTTGAGTTGGATCCGACTCATAGCTACCCCTCCTTGGGTTTCCAAGGCAGTATCACTACAGAAGTAGATTGCCCAATCTTCCTTCCATGCCCAATCAACTTATTTATCCACTCACAAGTTGATGGACACTTGGATTTTTTCCAGTTTTGGGTGACTATAAACAAAGCTGCCATAAATATTCTTGTACCAATCTTTATGGAAACATGTATTTTCATACCTCTTGGCAAAATCTAACACTTGGGATTACTTGGTCATATAGTATATGTATATTTAACCTTATAAGAAGTTGCCAAACTATTCTGAAAGTGGCTAAGCCATTTTGTTTTCCCACAGGCAATGGATGAGAGCGCAGTTACTTGACATATTCACCAGCATTTTTTAAATTAAAAACACCTGCTCTAGAGTGTTACCAATCAATAACTCAAAATAAACTCACTGCCATAGAGTTGGATCCGACTCATAGTGACCCCTCCTTGGGTTGCGGAGGCGGTATCACTACGGAAGTAGATCACCCAATCTTCCTTCCAAGGAGTGGCTGGCGGATTTGAACCTCCAGCATTCTGGTTAGCAGTCAAGTGCCTTAGGCACTAATTGCTGCTCCCTCTGCACAGTCACCAAGTCTGTCACTTTTATCTTTAAAATGAAATTAATCTTAAATTCATTCCATCTTCTCCAGTGTCACCATCACTGCCTTAAGCAGTAGGGGCAGAAAATCTGAATGTCTAAATATACCACATGAAGTCCTTCACAACCTGCCTTCCCAGATTTGTCTCCTTCTCACTGCCTACACTCTTCTTGTTCCCACTTCTAGGCACAGGAACCCTATGTTATTCCTTCACTAAGCACCCTTCCTCAGTCATTTACTGAAGTAAACGTTTTTATTTTTGTGAAAAAAACAAAACCTCGTTTTTTTTTAGAGCTTAGAACTTCCTTTCTAAGTTTGAGGACTTTACTACTACACAGTATTTTAGGAAAGGCCAGATCCTTGTTATTTCTGACCCTGACATGTGACTTAAGCTTAGCCACAAGGAGAATGAAGTGAGTGACACAAAGAAGCCAGGGCAAAGGTCCTTGTATGACACAATCCACACTCAGCCAGTAACCCAAAGGTTGCCTGTTCAAAACTACCCAGCAGTACTGTGCAAGATCCATGCCTGCTGAGCAGCTTCCATAGAGATTATAGCCAACCCTACTCCAAAGCCTACAGTCTCTCCAAATGAGCACATCAAAAAACAAACGTCTCAGAAGCAGGGGCAGTCAGAACTCACTGAGTGAGGTCCAATGTCTGGTAGTCAGAATACTCTACTAGGTAGTAACCTTACATAGGCTGCTCCTATACTATGGCCTTGGTTGTGGCTCTTGCCATTCTGCTTCTTTCGGTTTATTCTATTTCTCTAGCCAATTACTGTGAGTTAGAAATACTGTTCAAAAATTCATCTTCTGCTTAAGTTAGCAGGACTGGTATCTGTTGTTTATACTCTGACTAGAATATCTGGCAAACTTTTCCTCATTCTTTAGTATCCAGCCTCTTTTTGTCATCTTTCCTGGCTCCCAGAGGTTATTTAGTTGGATGATCCATTTTCTCTGTTCCCATACTTAGCACATACCTCTACCATAGTACTCACTAGTACATAACAGAGCTATCTCATGTATTCATCTTCCCAGAGGAGCTGTGAACTCCACAAGTGTTTTACATGCCTTTATATCATTAGCATCTAGCTAGTATCTGGTGTGTAGAGTTTAATAGATGTTTCTGAGTATTCAGAGCAAATGTTTCTTCTACATAAAGTTATAATCAACCCGTCCTGCTCCAAACTGACAAAGGTTTCTACTACCAGTAAGATTTTAGGTAAGTTTTTAAGTAAAAAAAAAAAAAGTAATTTGGTTAAAGAACTATGACTTGAAAAGATTCACTATTTGATTTTAATTCATACCCAGTATAAATTCTATCAATAAAATTAAAGTTTCTCACAACAAAAACACAAATAATGAATATGTGGATTATTTAGTATCTTCCTCCTCTAAAATACTTCTGTGGAAAAGTGAAAATTCTAGAAAATTCTAGACAGTCAGATTGAGAAAAGTATGGGCTACTATTTTAGGACAGACACAAAATTAATGGGTCCATTTCTGAACCAATTAACATTTAATTTTATGCAGCAGGTGACAAGAAAGAAATTCCTGCTTGTAAAATGATCTTTTTGTCACCAATTTCTAACAATGAAGGGTCAATTATGTGAAATCCAGGATTATTACCTATTTCCACTTGAAGTTCATAGTGAGCAACATTAGTGGAACTGATCACTTCACTGGCCCCAGTGGACGGAGACAACCAGGAAAGGGTTGGGTTATCAACCTATTTTTTAAAAGATGAAGACAAAATAGGTATAAACAAACTTTTTGGTTCCCCAGTTTTGTCCCCTAAACTATAATCAAACTCATTGCTATCAAGTCAGTTCTGACTCACAGGGAGCCAACAGAGCAGAGTAGAACTGCCCCATAGGGTTTCCAAGGCTGTAACTCTTTACAGAAACAGATGGCCACATCTTTCTCCCACTCAGTGGCTGGTGGCTTCAAAGTGCCAACCTTATGGTTGCCGGCTGAGCGCTTTAACCACTGTACCACCAATGCTCCTCATTTTGTCCCCCACCCTATCCTGACCCACAATACTATATTTTCAAACACACAAATGCTCATTAGGAAGGCATTAAAAGATAGCTTCCAAGACTATTTTAAGGTCTAAAAGGAGTTTACTAATTGTTAATGATTGATGTTAGAAAGCTATCAGCCTGTACAAGGGGAAAGGATAGTAAAGGCAGATTTATAGATAGCAAGGAAGACCGTCTAGTGCAATTTCCAGTAAGCATTTTTAGGAGGAGCTACAAATGGCTGTTAATTCTTCAGGGTATCTAAGAAATACATGAAGGGAAGTGCGCTTCAGGGATTTGTGAGGCATACTCTATGCTGTGCTCTTGCTTCAAGTGGTGACCAGCTAGATCCATGACAATACAAAGTACCTGGTCTACTTGTGGAGGTGGTAAAAACAATTCCCACAATGCAGCATATTTAAATTGCTAAAGAAATTTTCCTCAAGATGAAATAAATCAGATGAGAGGTCAGAAAGAAAAAAGATTCTAAAAAGAAAAAAGATTCTAAAAAGAAAAAAGATTCTAAAAAGGTTAAAGTGCAAGAAAACACTGTCAAGAAAACAGTGGCCATGAATTAAGATGCACACTGGAAAAAGAAGAGGCCTACATCGCTGGTAATATGATAGCCATGAGGAACCCACAAGGGACACCAGTGCCCCAAAGGATACTTAGGAGATTTTACAGGCACTAACAGGTGGCAGGAATCTTGTTACTGCCTCCTAGGTGAGGAGAAGATGGGGGAGAAATGACATTACTATGTGCTAGGAATTGTGCTAACTGGTTTTCACATCCCTAATCCTTTTTAATCAGGAGAAAGAGATAGGGTTTGAAATAGTGAAGAAGAGATTACATGTTCCCTAAACTTTTAAGAGAACAGAAAAAAATACAGTTATGAGCTCATGATAAAGGTTCTAAAAGAGAATAGTGTTCAAGAGTGATGAAAGATTACACAATTGAAAATAATACCAATGAAAAAAGAAAAATCTAAATAAATCAACTTAGTTTCCTTTGTTTCCGTTTGTTCTCTATTTTTTTCTTTTTTATTGCCTTCAACTTAGTTTCTTTAGAGCAGGCAGTCTTCAGATTTAAAGAACACTTAGATAAAAAGAACACTGCCCACACACTGTCCATGGAGAGGGAAGTTAACCTTCCAAGCTTTTAAGTTTTGTAGTTGGGTTGAAAATAACACCTCCTAGATGGAGAAACATCCACCAGGCTTCCCCAGATATGCCTTTAAACTTTTAATTGTCTTCCTTTGTTTTGATGTCATGATCAAGTAAGTGGTCATTTGATGCCCACAAAGGTCTTCCTATAGCAAAAGAACCATGACATGAATTTCAAGTACTTTGATCCTGGCATTAGTTCTCCATTAGCAATTAAATGGCTTCTAATTAGGATTTGGTTTCCTATGGAACTTTACTATAAAGAAAGAATGGATTGATGATGTACTCTAAGGACACTGTATCCTGTCACACTGTGAATTCATGTATCAGTCTAACGAGCTTGGTTAATACGGATCTCATGTTGAAATATGGTTCACTTTGAGTTTGCAGACAAAACACAGATTCGGATCCTCAGAATCTGAGGAACAGACGCTGAATCATGCTTCCACACCCAAAGCAGTAAATGGTACTGCATGAAGTGTTTTCGGAGAGATCCTGCCAGACTTTAACTTGTGGTGAAACATATCCTTCTGTACAGGCACACCTTGTTTTATTGTGTTTCGCTTTATTGTACTTCACAGAGACTATGTTTCTCACAAATTAAAGCCTGTGGTAACCCTGCATCAAGCAAGTCTATCAGCACCACTTTTCTAACAGCATGTGCTTACTTTGTGTTTCTGTGTCACATTTTGGTAATTCTCACAATATTTCAAACTTTTTCGTAATGCAATTACACACTTAATAAATTACAGTATAGTGTAAACATAACTTTTATATGCACTGTGAAACCAAAAAATTCATGTGACTCACTTTATTGCTATATTTACTTTATTGCAGTGGCCTGGAACTGAACTCACAATATCTCTGAGGCATGCCTGTACTATTATTGGCATGACAGCCTTTTCCCTATTTGAATTTCTAAACTCTCAGAAATATTGTTGAGAATATTCCGCATGGGTTGCTAGGTGGCCTTTAAAAAATTACTACAATGACAAAATTGCTTTATTTAAAGGCAGCAGCTTAACTCAAGCATTATTGTCTTTCATTCTGTAAACGTTAATTATAGAAAATGGGCTTTTTCTGCAGATTAAAGGAGTTTCCAAAGTCATTTGGAACCCGTTAACCCGTTGCCATCAAGTCTGACTCATAGCAACCCTATATGGTGGAACTGCCCCATGTTTTCAAGGCTTTTCTGTAAGTCTGTATGAGAGCAGACTGCCACTTCTTTCTCATGCAGAGTGGGTTGTAGGTTCAAACCACTGACCTTTGGGTTAGCAGCTGGGTGCTTTAACCACTGTGTCACCAGGGCTCTCTCCAAAACCATAGGAGAAACAAATCATTTGGAAAGCCAGGACTATTCTCCAAATATGATACTTTAATATAAAATTTAACCTTGTCTATAAGATCCAAGCCAGTGGAGACCTGAAAGTTGTCCAAATAAAAGACAACAAATGGTGTTTGTAGGTGTGGCTCAGAAGAGCCGAGAAAGGTTACTCTAATCACCAGGAGCCAATCTCCAGCCTGGTATCAACTTACATTACACAATGTCTCCAATTTATTTCACCAAAAGAGACTTCAGACAGATTATGATTCTACTTCCCTCGTTTAAGATTCCAGTCTAACTCCAGTGAGAGATGGGGAGATTTAGCTCCTTAAAATATAAAATGGCTCTCACCTGGAGGTCTGAAGGATTCAAATAGCACCTATAGACACTTCTCAAGTTCTAGGTCTCTCTTTTGGAAACAGCAGAGATGACAATAGATATGTCTTTGAATGCTACCTGAGCCTGAAGGGTAGTATTTGAATTAAAATGAAAATTGGATATACATCCTACCAGACAAAAGAACAGAAAACTTGAAGATTCCAGAATATTAGTAAATGCAAACGAAAATGACAAATATGAAGACAACTGAAGACAGGACCAGGATAAGTTATAAATAAGATTAATTAGGATTATTTCATTTTATAGCAAATAAAGCATTTTCAAGGCATGCTCCATTCTATAGTATAAAATAAGGATTAAGGGATGAGGAGTGATACACCAGAGAAATATTGATTCAGAAGCATGTTCCTTTAAATGATTACTATATATAAGAGACTGGCTAAGGGAAATAAAAAATAAGGAAGGATGCCTACTTTCATGATGATTTCTAAGATAAGTGGCAGCAATGGAATAAAGCAATATTCATTTTAATGGAATAAATGATACAAAAGGAAATGCTTCATAGATGTGATATGTGAGCCAACTCTTAATGGGTAAAGAGGAATTTAAGAGACAGAAAGGGAGAAAAGTATTCCAAGTAAGAGAGAATATTATGTGCCGAGACTCAGTGGCAAGAAATGAAACTCAAAAATTAGATTCCACACCATTCGATGGCAACTAACAACAATAATATACCATGCCAAGAAGTTCAGACTTTCTCCTACAGGCTTTAGAAAACCATGGAAGTTTTGAAGCTGGAAAGTGAGTAAGCACACCTGTATTGTTAAGCAGTGTTGAAAATGGACGTGATGGTAGAAGGCTGTATGTATGTTTAGAAGATTAGAGGCAAGAAGTCTACCTGCAATAGTCCAGGTGAAAGATGATGAGACTTGAGTAGTAACAGGGTCATGTGAAGGAAGAAATGGACTCAAGGGCATTTTAGAGACAGACTTGTAAGTCTTAACTAGTGTATAACTAGATGTGGGAGTAGAAGCAAAGGGAGGATATCTCCCAAATTTGTAGATGCAGATAAAATTTGAGAATCATCAGTCTTGCTTGCTCCCAGCATCCTTGCATGGCCTGAAGGAAACCTGAGGAAGCTATAGGACAAACTGAAATCTGAACAACTAAAGAAAGCCACAGGAATAGATGAAAGCTATTCTTTATGGGAAGTTAGTTTAGGCCAAAGAGAAGAGGCCAATTACAGACCCTTAAGAGAATAGGAGGAGGAAAGAAGAAACAGTAAATCACATGATAGACAAAAAGAGACACAGAAGAGCCAGGAATGAATGGCTCTACAGAAGGCAAAGGAGGAGCGTTAATTTTACTGAATCACTTTCTTACCAAGTATTGATGGATACTGGTTTCAGACAGTTTTTCAGGTCTCAGTGATTCAACTTGCGTTCGTGAAGTACAGAAACAATCCTGGAAATTCAGAAATGCATTAAGTAAGGGAAAAATAAGTCACAGGGTGAGTAGGGGTAGTTTGTGGATACAAAAAGGTCTGGTTCCTGGGGTGAGGAACAGAGAGAAAGGGCAGCATGCAGGTACCTGGAAATACTATGCTGTACCATGTAGTAGAGGTGTTCCACATGCAGCAGAATGGAGAAGGAGATGGGTATGCAGAAGAGAAACTTCACATCTGTTATAATTTTACTTAGTGCTATCTCTGATTAATCCTCTCATCATTCTTGAGGTTTTCTTCTGAACATAGCTAAATATTATTCTACTGTACTCAAATTGTTTTTATTTTGATCCTATTTTTTTCACAATGTTATCCACAATTTGTATGATCCACAAAATTGAATGTCTTTGCACAGTCAGTAAAAGGGAAACATCCTTCTGCTTTCAGCCAAGATTCATTTGATATGAGCAATAATATCCTTCATTCCATGTTCTCTTCTGAATCTGGCTTGAATTTCTGGTAGTTTCCTGTCAATATACTACTGTAACCATTTTTTAATTATCTTTAGCAAAATTTTACTTGCATGTGATATTAATGATATTGTTTATACTCTGTTGGATTACCTTTCTTTGGAATGAACATAAATATGTATCTCTTCCTTGTTGGCTGGCTAAGTAGGTATCTTCCAAATTTCTTGGCACAGACAAGTCACTGCTCCCAGTACTGTATCTGTTTGTTGAAATATCTCAATGGGTATGCTGTCAATTCCTGGAGCCTTGTTTCTCACAAATGCCTTCAGTGCAGTGTGGACTTCTTCCTTCAATACCATTGGTTCTTGATCATATGCTACCTCCTGAAATGGTTGAATACAAACCAATTCTTTTTTGGTACAGTGACTCTGTGTATTCATTTTCTTTTGATGCTTCCTGCATTGTCCAATATTTTGTCCATAAAATCCTTCAATATTGCAACTTGAGGCTTGAATTTTTTCTTCAGGTCTTTCAGCTTGAGAAACGCTCAGCATGTTCTTCCCTTTTGGTTTTCTAACTCCAGGTCCTTGAGGATTTCATTATAATACTTTACTTTGTTTTCTTACAATTTTTGTCTACATTAAACTTCATAGTGAATGTATTTGGAACCAATTTTGTTTCTAAAAGTGATAAACATTTCTAACTCCAACTCAAAGCAATTTAAAAGAAAGAGACATATTTCTATGATCACAACTTTAAATTTCCTACATTTTGACCCATGGTCCTATTATACCATATTGCCAATAAAGAAACATAACACCTATATATGATTTATTACACCTTCAATGAATAGGGCAAAGCTTACTTTATATTATTTAGGAAGGAAAAGTTTGTCAAAAGAAAAGTGTAAATAAATTCTAAGAAAGAATTTTTATAATAAATTATTTCCAACTATCTCACAAACAATCCTTTTTATACAAACATTAAGGTACTGGTATCAATGAATCTCTTAAGGTGAGTCCATCAATGTCTACTTGACAACCCTTCATAATGGTCAGCTACTTAGAAGAAATCAAATTTCTTTTATTTTAAAACATGCCAAAATTTCTCACTAATCAAACTTCTCTCACTTTCCCTGTTAGCCTATATCACTGGAATTTAAGCTGAACTCTTATAACTTGTATACTTTATCTATCTATCACAATAATTTGGTATATATTTCCATTGTTTTATATAAATCTCACCCTGAAGAAAAGAAGCTAATATCAAGATAGCTGTAGAATAGACTCCTTTGCAAAGTTTCTATTAAGTTTTTTAGGGTGAATAATAGTCACAATAAACTGCTTGTGAAATATCAAAAAATACTTATTACTATTTTCTGTACTGAAGATAACTACCAATTATGTCACTTATATATTGGTGTTTATAAATATTTTGCAACACTTACCCAGATTTTTAACTTAATCTAAAGTGGACACCATGGATCTAATATAAACAGCAATCAAATTGGCATTTATACATATTATTCATTGACTCAAATGTTTTTTGTTGGCTGTTAAGTCAAGGGCCTTATTTTTAATACTATTTTGTTTGCCCTTAGTCAGAGGAAGATTTGTATATGGATTTTTGAAAGATTTAAATAGGCTTTGCAGAAGGCATGTCTAGGTATAGCATATATGTAAGAAAAAAAGGGATAAAGGAAGAGAGTAATATGTATATCAGAGAAGTAGAGGAGAAGCTCTTTTTGAAAGACAAAAACCTTAATGAGAAATTGCTTCTCATGACTTGAAGTCTTGGAGGTCATGACAACTCAGAGCACAGAATATCAATCAGAAAACACCTTTTGAATGGTTCTGACTAATATCTAACTACTCTAATGACACAAAATTAAATCCATGTTAACAAAAAACTTACCCAAAGAGACATTGAATCACTTTAGTTCACAGAAAGGGATGAAAATCCACCTATTCCAAAGTAGAAAATCTTTGTTCTTTCTTCCTCTCAAGATGTATAAATATCCCACTAAAAAAAAAAAAAGCGAAATCATCCCTAAATTGACATAAAAGTTACTTGAAGAACTATTTGCCATAAACAACACCCTGTTGCTGTCTGACACATGATGATCCCATGTGTGTCAGAGTAAAACTGTGCTTCTTAGGGTTTCAATGGCTGGTTTCTTCTAAGCCGATCACCAGGCCTTCCTTCTGAGGTGCCTCTGGGTGAACTCAAGCTGCCACTCTTCAGGTTAGCAGCTGAGTGTGTCACTATCTGCCCATCTTATATTTAGGCAGCTATTCAAGGTTGGGCAATCCTACTTCCGTAGTGATACTGCCTCGGAAACCCAAGGAGGGGTCGCTATGAGTCGGGGCCGACTCGACGGCACATAACAACAACAACAACATTCCTTGACACAAGGACTGACACAATGCCTGAAATACGTCTTCTAAAAGCATTTCTGTCTACTAAACATTATTTGGGAGCTCTATATTTAAAATCTTAGGCATAGTGCCTAAGGCACTTGACTGCTAACCAAAAGGTTGGCAGTTCAAACCCACCAGCCACTCCTGGGAAGGAAGATTGGGCAATCTACTTCTGTAGAGATACTGCCTTGGAAACCCAAGGAGGGATCGCTATGAGTCAGAGACAACTTCACGGCACAGAACAACAACAACAACAACAACACAAACATTATTATCTGACATCATAACAGAAAAGCAGAGTGAAGCTGAAGGGACGTTTTGAATGTTTCCAAGGTCTCAACGTGCTTACATCTCTCCTTCCCCGTGTTGTTTCTACTGCTTTTTCAAAGAATCCTAGGCAAAAGTAATATAGGAAAGCAATGTTGAACACACTTTTGACATACATGGTGTTAGTTATAGACCTCAAGAATTTACAATGGTTCCACTTATAAATAAATTTTGAGAACTTCCAAAGCTTCCTGATCTGATTAATTACCTGTTACATCATTTGGAATCTCTGGCCAAGAAATTTAGAAACATGTCATATAATGTTAGAAAAAAGATAAACTTTTTTTTTTTCTTTCAGTTTTCATGTGAAAAAATATTCTCTGTAGGCTGAATGTCTGTCACCTTATGATTAAAACTCCCTGTTCTATTCTTGGAACTTGTTAACAGATATGAAAACACCTCCTGTCCACCTTTTCACTAAAAGTATTAACCTCAGAAGGTTTAAAATCCTATTTTCTTCTGATTCTTCTATATTGCTTCAGACACCAAAAGCACCACCAAAGATTTCTATTATTTTTCCTGGTAGAAAGAGTGGCAACGTTCTGAAACTTGATAGTATTGGATATTCTCTCTTACCTAAGTATCACTTCCTTCATCTAAATTGTGCTTCATTATTTCATTTTAATATGACTCTCCAAATCTGATCACGGTATCTGCAAATATCTGAGTAAAATGAAAAAGAAAAAAAAAAGATTTTATAATACATAGATTTTAAATATAGAGCAATATCCAATTTTATTTCTGAGGAAAGACATGCATTTCTTGAGGATGTTAACTGCAAATCAAAGGTAGTGAATGGGAGAAAGAGGTACCTGAAAGGCTGAGTATTCTGTCATCTGCTATTCATTTCCATCAATTTTGCTGGGATCTGCAGTTCTACAAAAAGGTGCAAAGCAATACTTGCCCTGTCCATGTGCCAAGGTAGTTGAGATCTAATGAGATACCCTTCAAAATATGCCTAATGACCAAACATTGTACCTATGCAAGAGCTTGAAAGGATGTCCTGAAAGGTACACTCAGATATTATGAGCGGCAGTACAAAATGGTTAAAACTCATTCAGAAATCAAGTTGAGGATGTTTCAACAACCATAAAAATGTTCATTATCTTTTGACCCAGTAAAATTCTAGTCATCTATGCACACATATAAAGTCAGACATTTTAATCTATCTTTATTCCACATGTGTTTCCTGAGTAGTAGCAGGGACTGCACACTGTGCTGGGCACTGGGAGCCCCCACTGATGATTAAGGCAGATTGAGGCCCTGCCCTCTTGTAGTTTACCTTCCCACCAATAGACAGGTTAGGGATGTTGCTATTAATGGAATTTTCTGGTTATCATAGTTTTGTATCCGCTTTTTCTCACTTGGTAAGTTCTTTCTTAAACAAAGAAAAAAAAATTTAATTACATTATCTATTTTTCAGAAAAACGCAGAAGAAACTGATACAACCTGTGAGGCTTGTTTGTATTAAAGAGTTGTTCCACTGGGATGGTTTAATCTCAGAGGATTTTGCATTAGATATGCCAGAGGATTAAGGGATAATTTCACAAGACATTTTGAGGTCAAGGCAGCAGCTGCTTCTAGTAAGACACTGCTGCAGGGGGCTTGCTGTGTCATTTTTCTCTTACATGCTCTTATACTATGTATTAATATAAATCTTTTTTTAAAAAAATAATAATACTTGAGACCTTTATTTCTATGTTTCATGAGTACATCAGTGTGGTCCCTTGTCTTTGTATCTATAAAAGTTTGTGACAGCCAAACCCATTGCCACGGAGTCGACTCCAATTCATAGGGACCCTATAAGACACAGGAGAACTGCACAGACGATTGCCACATCTTTCTCCCACAAAGTGCCCACCCTTCGGTTAACAGCTGAATGCCAATGCTTCATTAATTATGACAAAAAATAAAAACTCACTGTCCTGGAATCGGATGGGACTCAGAGCGACCCCTCCTTGGGTTTCCCAAGCAGTATCATTACAGAAGTAGATTGCCCAACCTTCCTTCCTTCTGAGGAGTGGCTGCTGGGTTTGAACCTCCAGCCTTCTGGTTAGCAGTCACGTGCCTTGGGCACTACTCAACCAGAGCTCCCTTAATTATGACAAGGCAATTTAATTTGTTCCATAACAGAAAGGTTTGTCCGAAGGTTTTAATTTAATAGGTTAACACTCTCTGTGGACAGCAAAGCGTGCTTCTATTTATAGAAGTTAATTTAAGCATCCAACAGAAGCCATTGTTACAGGAATGCAACATAACTATTTAATTATTTCTGTTGAACTTTAAAATTACTGTAACTTCAAAGTGATCTTGGGAACCCATGTTGTTGTTGTTGTTATGTGCCGTCGAGTCGGCCCCGACTCATAGCGACCCCTCCTTGGGTTTCCGAGGCAGTATCACTACGGAAGTGGGATTGCCCAACCTTCCTTCCGAAGAGTGGCTGGTGGGTTTGAACCGCCAGCCCTCTGGTTAGCAGGCAAGTGTCTTAGCCACTATGCTACCAGAGCTCCTTGGGAACCCATAGTATCAACAAAAATTATAGCGATGCACAGAAGAGTAAAAATTTTCGAACTTGGTATCCTGACTCATGCTTTCAACAAATACTTACTGAACTCCTACTGTGTGCCAAGCACTGAGTAACAAATCCTAATCAACTTTTGAGGAAAAAGGGAGTAGACACAACAAACCCACGAAGGGGAAACACAACGCTGAACTTAAATACCGAGCACAAAGCGCTTGAGCATTTAATTTTGTAAAAGGTTTCTTCCTCATCCGGCTTTTGGAAGACTGTTGCGAACTCACAAATAGTGGCATGAGATACACAACATGGGCCAGAAAGTGTCTCCTGCTTGGACATTCGAACGCGGCCGAAGATTAGAGCCGGGGGAAGAACAGGGCGCCATCTGCAGTTCGGGTCCGCGCACCTGGCGTCGCCACCCCCAAAGGCACCGCCCACCCCGCACACAGGTGCCTCCACCACTGGGCTGGGTTTGGGGACCGCCGGTCCGGCTCCTGGCAGAGCTGGAGACGCGCGGGGCACAGGGACCCTCGCCACGCGGGGCCGGACCGCTGGTTCGGCTCCGCGGCCGCCCGGACTTTGGCTTGAGGCAGGGCAATGAATTCTGGCCTCGGACTGTCCAGGGCGCGTGCGGACCGAGCCGCGCTCCCTCCCGTCCCTGTCCAGCCTCCAATCCTTCCCCACCCTGGACCGTCCTCCCCTCATTACCCTGACGGCGACCACGGCCAGTGACTCTCCTCAGGCGGCCCGCCGGGCGAGGCCGGGTGGGCGCGGGACCCCGGGAATCCGGGACCCCGGCCCGCGGAGGAGCCAAGCGAGAGCCCTAGGCCCGCTCCCTGCGTGAGTCGTCAGGCGCAGGAGGTCGTGGGGCACGACCGCGATAGGGGCGGTCGGCCCGGAACTCTGCCCCAGCCCTAAGTAACCCTCGGGGACGAGATTCGCCCCACCCCGGCCCGGGGTCGCGGCCCCGCCTCCTGCCTCCCGCCTCGCAGTCGGGCCGCGAGAGGGCGGAGCCCTGGTGCGAGGGGGCGGGGTAAACGCGAAACTACTCGGGGCGGTAAGGGGGCGGGGCGGACAGAAGACGACTACAATTCCCAGGCGGTCGTGCGCAGACGCCGTGGAGGCTCCTGGGAGAGTGGGTCCGTTCGCCTTTTCCTAATTGTGTAGAGCTTGCTACTGACAGGGCGTCGCAGCAGAACCTAAGTCGCCGAATGATGATGATGTGAAGTCGCCCGCCAGTCTCTGCCGCGCCCGGGCGGTTACTGGCAGCGGCGGCAACCTCGGCAGCAGCGGCAGCGGCGGTGGCTCCGGCTGCTGCTCTTTAGCTGCCGCCGCTCTAGGGGTTTTCTTCCTGAGGAAAAGCACGCAGAGGGCAGAGGACTTCGGATACCTCGGGTGAGTAACCTTACAGCACACGACCTGCACTTGCCATTGCTAACTTCCCCTCAAGGCGGAGGAGCCTCTCTGTCCCGCGCCCCTCCGTTCCTCGGAGGTCACGCGCGGAGACAGAGGCAGGAGGCTCGGTATAGGAGTACTGAGTCCCTCCTCCTCCCGCGATGGGGAAGTGGGTCGTTACTTAAGTGTGGGTGACAAATGATGGGCGCTGGGCTGTGGTGTCTGGATTTTCCAGCTGCGCGTGGGAGGATTGGCAGACGCTCATCCTCTGCCGGACAGCAGCCGTCTGGAGCCCCATCTTGAGCGTTGAGTGGCTTTGGTGTCTGGACGTTAAACCTTAAACCCTTGTCGTCATCTGTGATGTGAGTGACAGGAGAGAATATTGAAAGAGCTCTTCTTCTGTGGCACCCAGTTGGGCTTTTCTTGCAGTTGATTTTACGCCGCGCACGTCACGTCTTTGAAAACATAAATGGCAGATTTTAGTTTCAAGCGTAAATAATGGATATTGGCAGATGTCCTTGTAGTACCAGCAAAAAGAGAATCTCCCAGCTTCAGAGATCTTTGGGCCATAATAACAGCTGAACTCGGTTAGTTGTCCACACACCTTTCACTTACACCTACTGCTTCTGGGCTGGAAACAAAACAAAACAGAACTTTTAACTGTAAATTCATTAAGCTAGACTACGCTATAGGAACAAAATTAAATGAACCCTTCCAGGTTTGTTTTGTTTTTTTCCCTTCATTTCACTACATATTTCCTGACTTTCAAATCCGTGCTGTTGATTTGAAAGTCCGAACTTCAGTCATCTTCAATTAGCATTTAAGTCATCTTCAATTAGCGTTTAAGTCGTGGTGACGTGACACTTCAAAACAAATTGTGAAGGACATTTGGTGGTGAGGAAGGGCAGTGATGAAGATACTTTATCATCTCCGCAGTTATTCCAGCTTTCGATTTTTAAAATTTAGTAACGTTCAACAAGTTAACAAGCATATAATATATGAAAGATAGTGTTTCATTATCTTATGTTGTTGTTGTTGTTATGTGCCTTCGAGTCGGACCCAACTCATAGCGACCCCTCCTTGTGTTTCTGAGGCAGTATCACTACGGAAGTAGATTGCCCCATCTTCCTTCTGAGGAGTGGCTGGTGGGTTTGAACCGGCAGCCTTCTGGTTAGCAGTCAAGTGCCTTAGCCACTAGGCTACCAGAGCTCCCCATTATCTTACACATTTTGTTTTTATTCACACAGTGGAAGTCGCAAAGAAACAATATTTGAGTACTTTCAGTCTGCCAGGCACCCCAGTTATGAACTCTACAAACATTAGCTTACTTAGTCACTACTAACCCTGTTGCACTAATCTGAGGTTCATATATTTTGCTCTTGTAACAATGGAGATTCAAACCTAGATCTGCCTTGTTTCAAAACTACAGGTACCTACCTCAGAAATTATTGACATTAAAGGTTGAATAGTGAAAAAGTATTTTCCAGTATTATCTCCTAATACTGGTTCCTACACACCTTGGGCTTCTAGAATAAGCTCTGAACCCCTGCGTTAGTGCTTTTGAAACAGTTGCTCTCTCTCCGATTTTATTCCCCACAGAGCTGCTCATTGTGACCCTGAAAGTCTATTCCAAATTTTCCTCAGTTTACTTATGTCAAAAATAATAGGATTGGACTTCCATCCTTTCCAGTTCTAAGTCTTTGTGATTCTGTAGTTAAATATATAAGCCAAAGAATCTTATTCTCCACTGAAAATATTTAACATTTATAGTCAGAAAGGATACAAAACTTAATGTTTTTTTTAAATTTCAATGCCCAAAATATGTTAAACATCAATATAGTGAGACATTATATGTTATTTCATATTGATTTTGAGTTATGTTTATGTCATCTGTTTCAGGTTTTTTTAAAATTTTTTATTGTGTTTTGGGTGAAAGTTTACAGAGCAAATTCATTTTCCATACAGCAGTTCACGTACACTTTGTCTCATGACGTTGACTGCAATTTCCCACAATGCAACAACTCTCTTCCCGCTTCTTCCCCCTGTACTAGTTTTTGAACCTCTTTAATTACCATCCTATTTTATCAGTAAGAGAGCTGAGGAATTAAGGTAATATTCAAATTTAAATGGCTTGGTAATTTAAAGAACTAAACTGTTTATGGTTCCTAGTCATATATACTCAGACCTTGAGTATTCTGTAATGTAACAGATGTTTATGTAATACTTCCTATGTGTTAGATATCTGTCTAAATGTTTTATTTATATTAACTTACCCTTACAATAGTGTTGTGAAGTGTTTTTGCAGTTGGGCAACTGAGGCAAAGAAAGGATAAATTAACCGCTAGTAAATGGTGGAGCTGGATTGCAAACCCAGGCAATATTAGAATCTTTACTCTTTGTTGAGCATCTACTGTGTACCAAACCTACAACTGTTTTAATATAATTAGGTCATTTATCTTTACAAATCCCTTACAAAGAGTAGAAACTCAGGATTTAGTGATTTGCCCAAAGATAAGTAAATGCAGAGCTAGGATTTGAACCTAAGAATGGTTTACGCACTTGCTGCTGACCAGGATTGGTGGTGTGAGTACACTCAGACGCACCTTGGAAGAAAGCCCTGGTGATCTCCTTCTGAAAAATCAGCTGCTGAAAACCCTGTGGAGCACAGTTCTGCTCTGGCACACACAGGGTTGCCATGAATCAGTCTGGTATGGACTGGGCACTGTGCTAGGTGCTAGGATATAGTCTGTGCAATCTGAAGAGGGAAAGACAATTATGATTGTGTGTTGAGCAGTACAAGAGCAGTGTACAGAGGTGCTAAGCAAGCAAAGAGAAGAGGTGCTGAAACAAGACTGGACTTGGGGCAGTCTTGACAAAACAAATGAGAATTAGTCTCAGAAAGGAGGAGGAGGAGTGCTCTAGCCGAAAGCAGTGACATACAAGAAGGCTTTGAAGTATGGCCAGGTGATTAGGTTTCATGGTAAGGGGGAGGAAAGGAAGTGTTGAGAGATGAAGCTAGAGACTGCTGGGGCCAGATTAGGAGCATTTTTGTAAGAGATATTAAAGGGTTTAAGCTTTATCCTGTGAAGGAGGGAGTTTCTAGCAGTGGTAAATATTAGATTTATATTTTAGAAACTACTCTGAACCTTGTGAAGGATGGATTAAAGAGGATAAGATTAGAGGCATGGAGTCCAATTAGTTGGCTGTTGCCACAGGAAGCTGAACTAAAGATTTTCCCAGAATATTGAAATGTCAAACTAAAAAAGAACCTCTGTTAACAAAAGGAAGACTAAAATGGGCACAATTTATGCTTAGGGCATACGTTAGAAGATTTAGGATAAATTTATGTATAGTTGTTTGTAGCTAGAAAGCCCTGGTGGCACAGAGGTTGTACCAAAAGGTCAGTTGTTCGCACCCATCAGCTGCTCTAGCAGTCTGCTTCCTTAAAGATTTCAGCTTGGAAACCCTGTGAGGCAGTTCTGCTCTGTCCTGTAGGGTTGCTGTGAATCAGAATTGACTCTATAGCAGTGCTTTTTTATTTTTTATTTTTATACCTAGGGACTGGCCTTGCTTTTGGCATTTTGTGTTCTGTAAGTCATAAAGCTTTATTCAAATATTAGAGAACATTCAGTGTTTTTCCACTCTAAATAGTGTTGTTGTTGTTGTTGTTGTTATGTGCCATCAAGTCGGCCCCGACTCATAGCGACCCCTCCTTGGATTTCCGAGGCAGTATCACTACAGAGGTAGATTGCCCCATCTTCCTTCTGAGGAGTGGCTGGTGGGTTTGAACCGCCAGCCTTCTGGTTAGCAGTCAAGTGCCTTAGGCACTA